AATACGTTGATGTCAAAGTTAAGCCCGGCAGGCGCAGCAGCGGGCGCAGAGCTGGCGGCAGCCTCGCTGGAAGGTGCGCTCAATGTGCTGCCGCCCACAAGCGGTCCCACTTTCGAGAGCAGGGCACCGATGTCGGCTTGCGACGGCACACCGCCATCACCCCCGCTCGCCGCAGCAGCATCGGCGGTGGATGCTTCCGTCTTGACCTCCGGCATGCCTGCTTCGTCCGCATACGCATAATCCCCACCGCCCGTCACGTCGGCCTCGCCCATCCACGGCGTCGGAATCTCCACGCTCTCTGTCCCCTTGAGCTCCTCTGGAGTCTCCGAGATCGTTCCCGGACGCTCGAGCTGGCTTTCATCGGGGCTTGTCGGCGCTTCGCCCTCCGCGTAGACAACCTCTTCCAGCTCCGCATGGCGTCGCGTCTGGAAGGGACCCTCAACCGATTCGCTTCCCAGCACCACTACCATCATCTCAGGTATCTCCACCTCACGCGGCTCGTACCAGTCCATCTGCGCTTCCATCGTGCTGAACGATTGGCGCAGCGCGTCTCCCTCGTCCTGCTCCACGCCTTCCAATCCTTTCTCCAGCAGCTCGGCGTGCTGCGCATCGTCCTGCCCGTAGTCGGCAGGCTCGATCAGCCTCACCGCCACCAGCTCGCTGTCCTCCTTCCACGTCACCCGCTTCTTCACCTTCTTCCTGTCTTGCGTGCCAGCCTTGCCTTCCGCTTCTTTGGCCTGCCGTCCCGCCGCTTGATTGCCGCTGCTGCTGCTGCCGCTGTTGCCGCCGCTGAGTGTGCCCAGGAAGTTCATCACACTCTGGCCCGCACTCAACCTGTTGGCACCCGTCGCGCCGGACGACATCTTGCTCGAGGCTGCAGCAGGCTTCTTCATGCTGTCAGCCCCAAAGAAAGACAGGCCCGGCTTGGCGCTCGAAGACGATGCTGATGCCGGCTTGGCCGTCTTGGCGCTCCCTGCAGCAGTGGCTGTCGTCGACGTTGTCGTCTTGTACCGCTTGGTGCTGCTTTCGCTCGTGCCAGCCGCATCCGAGGGCTTGCGCTTGACAGCCGCGGAGCCCGTCGACGCGGCCGGTGGGCTTGCCTTGGACGACGACGTCGACGTCGAGTCTTCGGCCTCAATGACTTTGGTCCATTTTATTTTCAGACTCTCGGCAAGTTTGCGCGCGCCGGGGTCGACAGCGCGCAACGAGACGCCCGTGATCGATTTGCCCAAACCGGCCTCATCGGTGAGATAGGCTTTGCGCATGGGCACATAGTCTAGGATGGCGAGCAGTGGCAGCAGCGTGTCTCTGTAGCGTCGGCTCAAGTCTGGAGCGCCCTCGGTCACCTTTTTGGGGGGCACCGTCTGGCGCAGCCAGGTGGACAGGATGTGTCGGCCTGCGGGGCTCGCCATCCACGCCCCAAAGAACTTTCTGCGTCCCGTCTCGGAGAATCCCTTTCCCTTTTCGAGCGTCGCGATCGCATGGAGCGTATCCACGAGCGACTTGCGCACTTCGGCGCCCGTCGAGACCGGTCTGCGGAATCTGCCCTCGGCATCAAACTCGCACAGGATCTTGATCAGCTGTCTCGCCGAAGTGGTGGGGTCGCGCTCGACCGAGAGCCGGCCGAGCGGTTGTTTTGCCTTGGACCACAGCACGCCGTCGGCTGTCGCCAAAGGCTTGGCTGCGTTGGGTTGGGTGGCAGCCGTATCCGTAATCGCGCCCGAGGAGCTTGCTGGCTTTGCTGCCATGACTCGTGCTGGCGGCAGCGGGGGTGTGCGAGGTTCTGTGCCGGATTCGGCCGTGCCAGATGTTGTGGGGTTGGTGGTGGACGCTGTCGACGGGAGCGGTTGTTGCACCTCCATGCTGACCGACTGGGCAACGCCAAGAAGAGAGGTGAGCTTGAGTTGCCGAAGCTTGGGCTTCTTCTCAACAACGGGCGCATCAGCATCAGAGGCAGCCAAAATGGCGTGCAGACTCGTCGTGGACCCTGCAGGCATTGAAGAAGCGGCCGGCGTGAAACGAAGCGCGTCTGCCAGAGAGTGACCGGACTGATCGCCGTAGACGTCGTGAGGCGATTGTGCTGCGCCGCTGTGCGCCGGGTGTGCCGATGCAAACGGAGAGGGCTGATACGACGCCTGTGATGCTGGAGCAGCTCCTTGCCACTGGGGCTGATGGTGGTGGGGTACTTGAGAGAGGTGCTGCATCGCTAACGGGAAGAAGTTTGCGGGCTCCGAAGCGGATGCTGAAGGATGCAAGATGGCTTGCATGAGCATGTCGGGGTGAGCGTTTGGATACATGGCCTGCAGCTCGCGCATCATGCTGGCGTCGACGGTGGATGGCTGTGCTGAATAGTTGCTCGAAGCCGGGGGCGCCCCCGACATTGAATCTCCGTTGAATTGTTGGAGATGATGCGATGCCATCAGCTGCTGCTGTTGCTGTTGCTGTTGCTGTTG